GGCTCCTGGGGGCAGTGGTCCTGAGCACCCCAGGGCAGGTCCTTGAGCAGGATCTAACTGGGATTTGCATAGAGGGAGTGTGCCAGGGCCTGGCCTGCTGGGGCTGGGACAGCCGAGAGGGCATGTCTACTTGTCTGTCTCTGGGCAGACCTCCCTGTCTGTGCTGGGGAACGCTGGGCAAGCTCTGTAGGATTTATCATCACATTCCTTTGGATGTGAGCATTGTTAGGCTCATCCCTGGCACTTGGACTCATGTGATGAGCCCACAAGTGTGCTGTTGGCCATTTGGTTGTGCCAAAACTATGAGCATGCCTGTCCCTGCTCCCACTTCACCATCTAGAGTGACAAGGCACAGGGAGTGTCCCCCTGACCATGTTTGCTCTATGCCGCTGAGTACAGGGATGGGGCACTCACTCAGACCTCCATGCCCCTGGGGTTGTGTCTTCGAATCACTGTTCAGCAGAGACTGGTAGGGTGGTAAACAGCTTTATCTTTATTAGGAACAGGATTCATCAACTCACATGCTCACAGCTTGCAGGCAGAACTGCCACTGCCCACCACCACAACTACACCCACAGGGCATCAGGGGGAGAGACTGGGTCATCCCACTGCTGGCCCCTTCAAGATACATCCCATATACCACATTCCTCTTCTTTACTCCTGGGAGCTCCCTCTTAAACAGTTGGGAAATGTGCTGGAATGGAGCTGGGGGATGGGGGTGTCATGACACGTGTTGACAGCAAAAAAGGAGGTGCTATCCTCCCTGCAGCAGGGGACCTCTGGCTGCTGCCCCTGCACCATACTCCACCACCCAGGGACCAGAACTACCCAGTTATGTCTCCAGTTCCTGGTGTGTGTGTGTTTGTGTAGGAGGCCTCCAGGTGACCTCAGACTTACCGGCCACACACTCGCACTTGGAGCTTGTCATCCAGCACTTTCAGCACAGGGGGCAGCTCAATGGTCACTTCAAACTTGGGCAGCACTGTGGGGCAGACAAGGAACCAGGGACTGGTCTGATCTCCCAGGTAGACAGGAGCAATTCCACATATATACTCATCCTGATGACTCCTTTGCAGTTGCTCCAGTGGTGCAATTGGTTAGTGCACAGTACTTATACAGCATTACTTAGATGAGCTATGCTGGGGTTGTGAGTTCAATCCTCACCTAGAGCATGAATTTTATGGGGGTAGAGCTCAGTGGTAGTGTATTTGACTGCAGATCAAGAGGTCCCCAGTTCAAATCTGGTTGCCCCCTGAAGAAGCTATTTAATGAGGGCTGCTCATATGGTTAGGGGCTTACAGGACAAGCCCTATGAGGAGAGACTGAGGGACCTGGACCTCTTCAGCCTCCGCAAGAGAAGTCCCAAACCCAGCCTTTCCCTGGAGCCTTCCCTCTGCTTCCAGGACCGAGCAGGAGCTGAAGCCAGTTCAGCACCAGGGACTGCGTTCTCAGGACAGGGTGTTACTGACTCCTGAGCAGCCACCCCTGGGCCCTCTGTACTGCCTCCACATATTCCTCCAACCACCACCACGTGAATGGACAGGCAGACATGGACAGGGCTTACGACTTTGAAGAGATCCCAGCTGTGAGATGCAGGAGAAGGAGCAGGCAGGCCAAGGTGGCTGGGGTTCCCATTCTTGGGGGTGCAGGCTGGGTGGTGGATGCACACCTCAGGCTTGCTGGGTCTTTCTTCCTCCCTTTTTCTGACAAGGCATCAGGAGCTTTGCCTTTAAGCCTGAAGGTAAATAAAGGCTGCGTCAGGTCCCTGGGGGATACAGCTATGACAACATTTACCTGCATAACCCCCACCATTGCTGGTTTCTAATCTCCGACCAGCTGGATTTGTATAAGATGGTTTGAATAGGTATCATCCTGCCTCAGGCAGGGGGTTGGACTAGGTGACTTCTGGAGATCCCTTCCAGCCCTACTTCTCTGTAATAGTCGGAAATAAGTCATGCGATATGTCAGGTCTCTGAAATAGTCAGGTGAGTGCGTGAGGTCTATTACATGAATTATATCTGGCAGAGGGTGCAGCAGACCCTTTTTTTTTCAGCAGTGATGCAGTAGGATGGACAAGGAAAAGGGAGTGGGTGAAGTTTGGCAGCAGTTATTCTGCTATCACAGAGCCAAGAGCAACACCACAGCACCCTGTGTTGCTCATGAGGCTCCTGTTTCCAATGGCTTGTAATGGTGTCAAATTGCTTTCATCTAGGCTGACATTTTTCAGCCTTGGTATCTGCCTCAGACTGAATTTTAGCAGTTTAAGTAGAAAGGATGAAGTTATTTGTGAGAACAGGATTAAGCAGGGAAGCACTAGTTACAATCCTCTACTCTAAAGGCAGCTAATCACATTCCTCTACTCTAAAGGTTTCTTTGAAGAGCATGTAGTGCCTCCTGGACTTGGAGCAGCACCCTGAAAATTGGGACAGAGAGGTGCCTATTTTTCTGTGCAATCACTATTTTCACATGCTCAAAAAAGTTTTTGGGGGGACTTCTTCCTGCAGTCCTCAGCACAGCCTGTACGCAGCAATTTTGAGTTGGTGACTAGTATTTGCACTTCGGCCACATCCACAGGCTCGTGTATATATCTGTCAGATGGAGCAGAGTTGTTGTGATGATGATATGTTCAGTGCCCTACCTAGACTCCTGGCAGCCTTAGGCAAACTTTTAGTATTGGGACCCACTTTGCAAGAGGTGATAATAATCAGACTCATTGCAAAAGTCTTTATCACATCTGTGGTATTGATGTCTTTAAATAATTAGTTTTCAATTGATAACATTGCCAGTCCTCTATATGTGCAATACTAAAACTTCTTTTTGCAACTGTAGGGTTTTTTTTCATTTTTGCACCTTTTTCTCCAGGCCCACCTGGTTCGCCCATGGCTATGTCCAGGTCTGATTATGTTCTGTGGACAGAGCAGGAGGCAGCCACTGCTCTTCCCCTTGCTAAATCTTTCTTTTCCAGTCATATTTTTTCCAGGTGACATGACCTTTCCCAACCCCTAGCATTTCATGTCACCCATAAATATGACTTTTTATCCTGTCTTTGGAGAATAGTCCTTTTTAGCTCACCAGTGAAGAGTGTCTTTATCAGTATCATCTCAGATGATGGGGCATAGACACTGAAGTATGCTGTCTAGAGGAAGTCTGCACGTCACGAGAGTTTTGCTCATCCTATGAAGTAGCTGAATGCAATTTTTGCTGGTAAGTCCTACCTCCTAAATCCAGCTTTGCCTTTCCCATAAAAAATGTGTCCTTCACCATGTTCTCTTATCTGACCTTCAGCAGGCATTCTGGTCTTGCTCAACTCTGCACTGTAGTTCTCAGCAGCCCAAGCTATTTGTCTTTCTGGTCTTTCAGGTGAAGCTAGTTTGTCCATCAAAGTTCTGTCATTTCCTGGTTGCCACAGACTAGGGAGGCTCTGGATTTCTGAGATTTCATGTTTCGACTCATGCGGTGACACACGAGGGGTTTGCAGTGCGCCTACTGAGCTGTCTTGAGGTTGATAATTTTTGTGGTGCCTTTTCTAATTTTGTCCTCAAATAAGGGGAGCAGGATATATCCTAAAACAAGGTTGCTTAGATATGTGGGCAGATCTAGGAGTCTGAAAAGGGGCAGGGCGTGCAGTTGGTGTGATGCAGTATAGCATACAACACAGTCTTCTCCAGGTAAAAAGAAACCAAATAGTATATTTTTCTAGGGGCCTAGGGCTTTATTATTCCATTTACGATTTAAGCTAAACCAAATGTAACTTTATTGGAACGTATATTGCTTTGCCACATCATATATTATGTATTGAAAATCATAACAAACTAGGCAAAATAATCAAATGTCTTTTCTTTAGTCCTGTAGTCATCAGAATTGAATGTACATCTCTTTCAGAGTCATAAAACAAAATCAAGCCTTCTTGAGCATCTTGGTAGTGCATCCAGTGCTCCACTGAAAGTTATTTCCACACTTGAGTTAATGTTCATCTGAGTTAACATTTCCATACCCAAGGTAATGCTTTTAGCTAGAGTTAAAAACAGGCTGCAGGGCTAGAACTAGGAGCTACATTACCTGGAGCCATTAATAGACAGCAGAACTGCAGAAGAACTGCTTGATTAATGTAACATCAAGACTATTAAAAAAGGAGAGAGGGTTGCTAACACCAAGGGAATGAAGAATTGGAAGGAATCAGGATGATTAAAATGAGCAATTAAGTCAAGTATCTCCCTCACTGCTACCTGAATAAAAATGCTGCTGCCACTGCTAGGAGTTGGTTTAAGCTTTGTGTGGAGCAGAGATCAGTGGGGAGGGGAAAATGGGGCAACTGTACACCTGCACCCCCTCTTGAATCTGCCTCTGCTCAGTTACATAGGATGCTACCTGTGGCAAACTAGGGCTCCCCAACTAGCCACAGTGCTAGTTTCCCCACCTGCCTTTGGGTACGCCACCCACCTGACTCACCTGCCATACCTTGTTCTTAATTAATTACGATGTTAATTAAGGTGGGAGGCTGCCCATTCTTGCCCTGATGCCAGGGGGTGCTATCTGCAGCTCCGATCCTCTCCTACATTGCAGCCCAAGCCTCGCAGATGGCATCCAGCTGTTAATCTCACTGGCCCCACACTGGGCCCCAGAATCCTCCAGTTCAGACCCCTCTAAGATCCCTCCACTCAGGCGGCCTACCCGGCTTTCATGTGGGCTCTCTAGCTCCCTGAAACTATTTCTCCTCTTGGGCGTGATGCCCCTGGGACCTTTGGCCACACAGGCCCTGGCCTCACTTCCAAGGCCAGTCAGAACCCCAGGCCTCCAGCTCTGGGCATTCTTTGCGGTGGACCCCTGGCCCTTTTGACCGTTCTGGTCCTGGCCCCAGCATTGACCAGTTGAGGGTACTCTACATCAGGCCTCTGAGCCTCTAGCCCCACAGTTTCTCCTGGGTCCACCATATATATATATATATATATATATATATATATATATATGCTGGGGCCAGGACCAGAATGGTCAAAAGGGCCAGGGGTCCACCGCAAAGGATGCCCAGAGCTCTCTCTCTCTCTCTATATATATATATAGAGAGAGAGAGAGAGAGAGAGAGAGGCGCTCAGCCACACTGCCCAATGGGGTTAACTGTAATGCACTGACAAGCACTTTTGTCAATGCTGAAAATAACCTTGTTCAGTGACAAAATTTGGGACCTTTCAACACTTCCAAGGAAAACTCAGATCCCTGGAAAGCAGGAAAAGGGCATATATATGCACCTTCTGTTGGAGCTGGAAGGAGAGTGCATGGCATGGCAGATACTATGCTTTTCACCCAGAACCAACAAGGCCCACTAAAGATTTTATTTTTAAGTTGTACCTCCAGCCTTGACAGCAACTAGCAGCTCCCTCAGGTGTCATTGGGTGGAGTGTAAGGATTGCAGCCTGATGCCACAGTGGCAAAGTGAGGGCTTGCTTTGCATGTCAGGCTTACAAAATTTGCACCCTAAGGTCACTACTGCTTCCCCTTAACAGAAAAGTGCAACTGGGTCAGTATCAAAGGGCAACAGACAACCGTGCAGATTTTGGGGGTCTGAGCCCATCTGCCAGGGTGCCCATTAGCTTTCCACTGTGTTGATAAACACAACAAAGAGGCTGATAGATCAGATAAGCTCTAACCCAGCCCCATGGTGCAATACAAGCTCCTTCCTACTTCCTGATGACAATCAACATTTTCTTTCTAAATTAGCTCATCAAGGGACATCTGTCCCACTCTTCTGCCCTTGGGATTTTTTTTCCTTCATCACTGCTGTCAAGGGTTCCATCAAACCAAGGCACTGTGATACAAGCAGCCTTTTGCGGACAAGGCCTTGGAAAGGCACATAGAGCAAGCTGAACCCAGGTGCAGTTGGAGACAGAGGGGCTACAGAGATCCCTAGGGACCTCTATGAATCCCAGGCATGGATGTAGTCATGTAACACAAATGCATCAAGTGCCCAGGTGACATGGCTATCCACCTTGGAGCATGCTAAGGAGACATCAGAAAGCAGCTGCATATCATCCTCTGGCAGCAATGGCTTCACACTGGGCACCACTTCCCAGGAAGCATTTCCGTGGAATTGGAGCTACTAAACAGTGCAGTAAAGGCCATGGGAGGCAGCTCAACTGAGTCATTTCTGACCAGACTAGATCAAACTTTGCTCTTAGCTGAGCAGGCTGAGAGGGGACAGAGGAGATGACTCCATCACCCTGGTCCAGCTCTAGGGGCTGTGCGGGCCGGGAGCGACCCGAGCCCTTTTTCATGCTGCACGCGGGCTGTGGCCAGCAGCCCGGGCACGCTGGATCGGAGAGGGAGGGTGACGAGCTGGAATTAGGCACAAATGCTTAGCGGTAGTTTTAAAGATTATTTACTTACACCGAGATGGCAGTGGTGTAGGCTGGAAAACTTGCTTGAGTTGCGGTTACAGACACAGACAACACGGACAGTCACGTGGAGTTTGCTAGGCTCCACGGAACAGAGCTCCGGATGCTCTGGGTGAATGCGCCACCAAAATCGGAATCGGAGATACGTCTTATAAAATTTGCGCTCGAAGACGGGAAGAGGTGGGGCGGAAACTGCTCAAGCCTCTTATACAGCTAACAGGCCAATCGCTAGCCGCCACATGGGAATAATTTAAAACTAGCCAATAGCGGGGAACGAATTTGCATACGGGTGGCAGGAACTCTTTTGCACCGTGCATTTCTCTTGCAACTTGAGCAATGCACCCTGCAAAAGAAGCTGCAAAGAGGCGGGAAACTCGTCCCTGCACCAGGGTTCTCCTCTGCAATAGGAAACTCTCCCGTGCAATGAAGTTGCAACCTGGCGGGGATAATTCTGGTGCCAAAGCACATACAAAATCATGCCTTTGGGTCATGACAGGGGCCAGGGAGAAAATGCTGTTCCTGGAGGTGCATGACAACAGTAGGACTGTGTGGCATGTTTGGCTCATTTGTTGGGGCTGTCCCTGGGGACACACAGCTGGTACCGGGTGTGCTGGTGGGTCTAGCAGTGGCAGAGCTAGACAGTAGCAGAGACCTAGCATTTACATTTCTTATGGCTACCCCTTTTCTCAGTCATTCTCACACTGGGCGGGCTGGCAGGGGTTTCCCAGCAAGTACTTGCAACACTGGCCTGTTTCCTGATTGACACTTAACTCTGGTAAAAAATTCCTGAGCGCAGGTAAATATTTGATGATAAATCTGCAAAGGGTCAGTAACTTGGGACCAGTTCCCTATACCCACAGAACTGACACAGTGCCAGCATGACTAAGACGACATGCACCCTCCTCCCTAGGTGAACATGACAAATGCCAGTTTGCATAACTGTTGCTGAACCAGTTTGCTCATCTCTTGAAGAGGCCAAGGTCTCAACTCCTGCAAAGAGTAAGGGGTCTTGTGGCAGGGCACTATTGGTGCCTGCCACTCTACGGGCTAAGCCAGGGAGATGGGAGGTGTCTGGGGGGAGCCAAAAGTCCCAGAGAGGGGACCACAGCCAGAGAGGAAGAAGGGTTACAGGTGAGCGTAGCTGCTTGGGAAGCCATCTGCAAGGCATGGGCCCCAATGTAGGGGAAGGCTCAGAGCTGGGAATATCACCCCTAGTCATCGCTGTCTTAAAACAGGCAGCCTACTGTCTGAATAACATCTTAAACATTTTTCCAACAAGGCGTGGCAGACGAGAGAGGCATGCGGTTAGCCCAGAAACAGGCGCGGGGGCCAACATTTAGCTGGCCCCAGAATGGGCCCCCTGTTACAGGTCTCCATGTGGCAGGCCTGAAACTGCACAGGGAAGCAACATGGAACATACACAGAAGCTGAATTCTTCCTGCCCCAGAAAAGGGCTGGGGCTGTACTGGGGATGGGCATGGGAGGCAGATCTTAT